TTGTCATATTCGACCCCTTCCACAGAACTCACCTTAGCTTTTTCTCTGCCTTTGTGTCTGTTTGCCTCTTTTACATCGGTGAATCGCTCTTCTGTTCCCCACCCCTCGACTTTCTGCTACTTTGATGATCCTCCTCCCCTCTGTGAAGCCTGAAGTCAGCTAAATGGCTAATGACATCTATCAAAACGCCTGTCATTTGAAATAAATAACCTTCTCCTTCCAACTTGCAAAGAATAGCAATAGGCCAACTAGTCATAACTTTCCACACTCAGGGACCTTCCAGTGTCAAAACAAACGACATCATCGAGAAATAGCCACCTCATATTTTTGCAAAATGGTCAATTATCCATCATACTAGAAAGATAAGTGGAGTAAAAAAGCGATTAATAACTTGTGACTTTATACAAAAAAGGAGACGTTAATAGTACCTCAAAATGTGTCGTACACTTACGACGACAGGGTGAACCAATAAAATTTTGGTCAAATAAAAAATTTACCCTTAGTAGTTTCATAAAAAAAAACATGCAGAATAAACGAGGCAATTTGAGGTTGCAAACAAACCCTTGGTTTTGCATCAGGATCAGTTAAATCATAGGAGTAAACAATGCCAGGAGTAAAGAAAGAAGTGAATTGGAAGAAAATCTACAGAGAAAAATATACATTTTAAGAGCAAGCAATGATTATGATCAAATAGATCTTACCGAAGTATCTTCTTTTCTACCTGAAAAGGCGGAAATCGAACCAATATCAACAGGTATATTACGTTTCCTCTTGCCTGACTCCAAGTCATGAACTGATAGGTTATGCTAAACAAAAATAGAAAAACAACAATTGGAGCTTACACAAACATCCTTCATAGAGCAAACAACAAGATCCTTTTCATTGACACATACGGCCCATTCAAGAAGACAAGACTCATCATGTGGAATTAGATCCTTCCAATTCTCCTAAAACACAAATAACACTATCGATGCAAACATCTTCTTGAACATAATGCAATTTCAACCCAGTTGTCTTCTACGTTAACTATTATTGAAGCCCACGAGGTTTTCAAAACCGGAAATTCAAAGTTAGAATATTCGGAAGAATGCATTCAAGCATCAACGTATTTAGGGCGGAGCCTACGTCGCCTCCAAAATAGTTTATTGCACAACTATTTATTTAGGTTGGTTTTAGCATATCTGAATAAACGGCAAAGGGCGTATAAAGTGCACAATCAAATTTATAAATTGCATCAGAGATAGCCTATGATAATGATTGTATGAAATTAAAACCAAGTTGATTAAAAGGCAAATCTAAGCAGAGAATGTGAATTGCAAATGATGTTTACCGAGATTTCCCGAAAGTCACGTGGGCGCTTATTAGGGTGAACGGTTATTTGGGGTTAAAAGCTAAAATGCAGTATTACAGCTTTTCTCTATTTGGGACTGAAGCTTGATTCTACTCATGCGGGATGAGTCACTCCGAAAGCACAATACGCGCGCGCCAGACACAGGGAAGCATATATATATATATATATATATATATGTATGTATACGCTCTTCTTCGATGAACAATTATACTTCTGTATTATCGCCCCTAAGCGCTTATTCGGATGGGCGGTTTTTGATTCAAAAATATTTTCATGAAATGATATTGACCGTTTAACCGCCCTGGGCGGTTTTTCGGAAAATCCCCGTAAGAAGAAACACAACAATTCATTATCTCAACGACTTCTAGAGAACTAATGTATAATAGAAACCGTACAAAGGGAAAAATAATGGATATAACTTACACGAGTAGAATTATTAAGATCAACAACAATTAGTTTAAACATTGGAGCACCCAGGTCAGTTCGAATAACAACGCTACTACCATCAACAGTAATGAAATCGAAAACCGCTTCAAACGAATCCACAATAGGGATCAATGTTAATTTACCTAAAAAGGTAAAAGTAAAATGAATATACAACGTACCAGTTATTTTGCGATTAATTTCTTCCATGTCCGAATAATAAAGAAGGGTATTGCGTTCACAACCCTCTAGGACAGTTATAAAGACATATCGACCACAATCACTAACATTCGCTTCACTGAAAAGCAAAAGATAGACAGGCTAAACCACTAATTGAATTTAACATGCGGAAGATTAGTAATACTTAAAACACTAGGAACTATCGAAGTAAAACTGTCTTGCTTAGAAAAAAATATAACAACATAATGAAATGCCCTAAATAGATAAATACGATACCGAATAATGCACCGACAAGTTAAAAAGTCAATACCATGAAAAATTTTAACCGAACCTCGACCAATTTGGATGCTCTGGCCATTCAACGCAGATTATATCCTCAGATTGAGGACGACCCAAATAGTGGTACATCAGCTTTTGATTAAAGTTAGTATCAGTTTCTGTGCCATCAGCATTAGTCGAAGCGTTGGGATAACACTAACAAACGCATGACGATAAGAATAAAAAACATACCCCGTAGAAGAAACCTTTTCCATCAACAGTCCACTTGATGTCGTCAGTGAATTTCACTTTCTCCAATTTATCTTCCAAATCTTCACCAGTTGCAACTTTTTTAACCTAAAATCAACATTAAGAACGTAGACAAAAAACCAGCATTGAGAAGATAGAACTTGTTAAGAAAGGCTTACATATATTGTGACCCAGTCAGAACCGGCATTGCTTAACCCGTAAGCAAAATATTCACCGTCTTTAGAAAAACCAAATGTATTTAGTGAAATTAGTCCATCTTCAGAAAGCGTATTCGGGTCAAAGAATACATGGCCACGTTTGCTCAAATCGTCTGTCATAAATAACACACTAATCCATGGGCAAATTATTGAAAATCAAAATTCACCTTTGATTTTGCAAGCCCGAATTATAGAAGTAAAAGTATTTTGAACCACGCCGAATAACACATTGATATTTTCCATAGTTCCATAGATCCGTTATTCTATTGAAGATAATGATAAAATGATTTTTTATACTTGGATTTGACTTCATTTCTGTATGGACAAGAGTCAAGATAAGGCATTGTAATGTTATTTTGTGCTTGAACAAATTGCTTAGTTTTGTAGCTATCAGGATTTTCAAGCCAACGATAAGGATCGTAGACCTACGTGGTCAAAAAGTAATAATAGATAAACTAGAGGCTTTTTTGCAACAAACAAAGCTAAAAAATAGCTAAAACTCCCCACCTTAGTTCCAAAAAAGTCATCCACAACGCTTTCATCCCTCTCAAAAACGGGGTAATCAAAGACCATTGCGATGCAATTTGTGGAACGTCATCGCATGCACGTACACATAGGCTTGAGGTGCGGCCGTACAACCTCGCGTACGGATTGAGGACAAGAGCACGTAGCCAATAGCAGCTCAATGGCCCTCACTTGTTTTACCAAAATCCACCATGTTGTATGACTGAGTTTCCTTCCTGTACACACACTTGATCCGCAATACTCGTACTGAATAAACGTGCTCCGTGCTACATGTCTGTTTCCTTTTATAGCTGGGCTATAGCTTAGCTGGTTCTGGGAATCTAGCTAGATGTTGGAGAATCTGCCATAGAGATTTCTGAGTCAGTCAGGCTTTACTAGTGTAGCAATATTTCTGAGTCAGTCAGGCTTTACTAGCGTAGCAATCCGTGGAGCTATAGCTTAGCTGTTCTGGGAGTCTAGCTAGGTGTTGGAGAATCTGCCATAGAGATTTCGGTCAGGCTTTACTAGCGTAGCAATCCGCTACAATGCAATCCGGTCAGGCTTTACTAAGGTAGCAATCCGTTACAATTCTCAACCGGTCTGGCTTTACTAAGGTAGCAATCCGCTACAAGTCTTTAACCAAGGCTTTACGAAGGTAGCAATCCGCTACATGTTCGAGACTTAGGGAGCAATCCGCTACAAGTCTACAAAACAATATACATAACTAGTGTAGCAATCCGCTACAAATTAATAAAATTAGAGGTCAGAAATGGCTTCTATTCGCCAGCAAGTAAAATGAAGGTATTTTCATCAAATTAATAGGGAGAATTAAGTCATTAATTTAGGATGTAATTTTTCAAATACGGCATTAAATTTGAATTTAAGTCCGCTGTTTTAACAATGACATTATAAGACTATTATGATGACAAGTTTTATTGCACTCATGAAATGTCACTCAAAATAAATAAATGGATTAAAATTTGTGCTACTACTGATTACAGGCGTTGCATTTCATGATTGTCTTCAAGGTATTCAATGGTAAATTTTAAGCTAATTTTGCGTCAGCCTTAATATAAGTAACAAACATAAAGGTTAAGCTTATGAAGTTAAGTTTGTTTACAGTAAAAAATTCCACATAAGGAAAGTGAGCGAATTTCTTTTTATAAATTTCTACATTTCGTTCTATCAAAATCTATTAAAGCAAATAATAAATCAATACCAGTAACTCAATTTAAAAACGTGATCATTTTATGAAACACAATCCATCTAAAATTATGAACAGAATTTACGTTTCACCATTCTTTGTTCCATTTTTAATTTTTTATGAAGTTATTTTTATCGACAAGAAATCCACATTTTATTTCATATTGGCCAGTTTAAGTAATTCGTGTCTGATTTGCGGCAAATGGAATATATTTTGATCGAGGTACCATTAAATGTTAGATAAAAATTTGATTAAACATTTAATTCACATTTTATGAAACTGACAATTTTTAAATATTTTCGCCTTGAATGCTATTAAATCACTAAATCTTCGTGCCCACTGATTTCGCAGGTCACTCAATTTGGGATTTACAACTGGTTCTCCCTTGAGGCATGCGTTTTAAAGATTTATCAGTAGATATGTTGTGCTTGCTTACCGATTGGCACCCCTAAGGATTTTATTTCTTTCGTCTTTAATTTTGGGTTATTGTATCGGTTTGGATATCCTTCTAAATTTTGCATCTAAAATAAGATCTAATTTGTCAGCTTTTGTAGTAAATGGTTCCACATTTCATTTAGGAGGGAATGTAAATGGTAGATGTGTACTTTGTTTTCCGGGAGTTGTTTACTATATGCAAGTCGCAATTTTCTTCCAATCTGTTCTTCCCACCTTGCAAAGGAGCATAACTGAACTCGCCAAGACGAGGTATTTTCTATTGCAGCATTAACACTGACAATTTGCACTAAAACTCTTGATGAATGATTTTCCATTAAGGGTCTTGTGATGGGAATATTTTTCTGTTGCTATATGCTGACGCAGTTTGCTGGTGGCTACTTTAGTGGTCTGTACGATGGAGATATAGTTCTCCTTCTGACTACTGTTATTTGTTATAATACCTCATTTTTTCTCACAAAGATGTTGCTTTTCACTTGCTTATTCTGAGCCGTGTTATATTTTTTTTAATTTTTCAAATGTAAACCAAAAAATTTGTATATCGTTGCTTTTTATCGCTTATTAATCCTAAATTAATTTATTTGTTTTATAAGACATCTTTTATCCAGGATTGTCATCTCTCATGGCGAAACGCGTACAGATGGCCGAACGCTGATTCACGTATTCATTCATCATTTCAGGATCTCACGCTGGACAAGTGACTTCTCAATTTTCTTGTACTTTCAGTTTATTTGGTAAAATTAAAAATACTCATATATGGGGAGTTTAAAATCACGATTGAGTGTGTTTGTGTTCAGAATTCTTTCAGCAATCATGCCACAAGTAAGGAAACACTTAGTCTTTTCAAATACCTTTCAGGCGTACTATCCATTTGGAAACCAGTTTTACTGGCTAAAGTCTCAAAATTCAATAGATGAAGGAGTTGTGTTTAGAGTAGCTCTTTTATGCTTTTCATTTGTAATATTACTATTTACTCATCAGAATCAATCTTAATTTTAGTAGGATATGATGCACTTAATCTAATCGTTACTGTATGCACTTTGTATAGGTGGTGTTCAAAGCAGATATTTTGCTTACTTAGTATTCAAATCAGCGTAGTATGGTGTTACGCTATTTAAGCCAACACGTCCATTTCGTCTTACGTGGACTTAACGTAAAGCTAAAGAAATCACCATGGACACAAAAACAGTCATATAAATTTTCAGCAACGAATGTTTTTGAGATTTTTGAGGAAGGTTACCAAAGGATATGAATTTATTCCTCTAGACATCTAGTGGATTAATCAAAATTAAATCAAGGCTTTGATCATGAAAAGTCAGTTAAGGAAACGATCTGCTCAAATCTAACCTTTTCCAAACAGGCCTACGATAGGGAGCTGTCACAAGTTGCTCTTTCTTAACGCCTTCATCAAAGACATAACTGAACTGGTACAGACAGTCGTGGACATCAAGTGTTCACTTTGTGCATATAACGTTATTCTACGGTATTCCACCCCCAAGAAGATGTCCCAGAAGAGGACGGAAAATGCCATAAATTATGCGCTTGAACTATTAGGGAACTATTGCAACAGCAATGGCAATTCATGCCACGAACAAATTTCCTCAAATCATTTCATTTTTCTTCTTTCTAATCAACCTCTTCTTCTTTTTCTTGGTATTTTAATGAGTTTTTTATACTTTCAAATTGGTTATTTTTGTAGTTTATCTAGTCCCTTTGAATTGTCATTTGTGGTACGTTCTATACTGCGATTCTGTTTAAGTTGCAACCTCATAGCATCAATAAGAATGATGGTGGCGGAGTTGGTTAATTTTGATTTTGAATATAATTGAAGATTCGTCATTTCATCTCTTTTAATGACAGGAGATTGAAAAAGGGATGGATAGAATTCATGACGCAAATTTTCTTGTTAGTCGTTGATGTTTGATCTGATTGTATTTTAGACATGAGTTATTAATGTAATTAGTTCAATTGGTGCATTAATAGTAAGTATTACTATTTTTGACTATCACCGAAAATCTAGAATTGCTTGATATTGACAATGTATGATTTCCATATTTAAAAGTATGCAAATTTTAACTGGTGTGATATTTTCGATTTTATATTTTTAAACACTAATTACAAATTTTAATCTGTGATATTATTAGATTCCCATTTTAGTACCTTCTTTATTGATCCATTGGATGCAGGTGTAAACTATGTAAGAAGAAGCAGTATCATCTGTGGTCTCATAATGGCGTGGAGGAATTGGGGAATTTAGCGGAGGGAAAGAGAAATTGGAGGCTGGAGGGATCTGTTGGGAGTAATGAAATGCTGGCTGTAATTAGTGCTTAATTGAGATACTTGAGGATGGTTGAATTGGTGTTGGTAATTATTTGCTGCATCTTTTGTTAGTTTAACAATTTATAAGTATAATAATATAAGTATAATACTTATAAATTCAATTGCATTTACAAATATTTATATACTTGGAACATTATTTCTCTTGGAGTATATATTGACAACTATATTCTTGGGGTGTGCGATAGACTTACCTCCACGCGGTGCACCCTGGACAACGTATCTTCGTACGGCAAAAAAGTCTATCACT